TTTTTAAATCTGTACACATTAAGGAATCCAATCTATTCTGGGAGTTAGTGAGCTAACATTACACCACAGTTAGAGTAGATCTAATCTCAATGTTTTACAGTAATATGCAAAATGTTCTAACACTGCTCTCCCCAATGAGATGTCTTCTAGGTAACAACCTTTAAAGGGACGATTTGAGTAATCAGCTATAGAAGGCTTTTTAAAGAATCTTGTGTGGAAGAAAATAATGAGGTTAATTGATTAACTGACACCTAAGGTTATAACAAAAGCCAGAAGACACTGGGCCCCCAGGAATGGAGTCTGAGGCTCCTGATTTGCATAGTAAACACTGGAATAAATCTATTTTTTAAGCACGGTGTCATGGCATCTTTATTTTAAAATGCGTTTTAAGTTTCACACCTGAGACTATAGAAGGGCATCATCATCTTCTGCTATTCGATTGGATGAGAACTTCTCACAGGGTGGACAGGCCGACTGACCTAAAGCCATGACTCCATCTTCAAGAGGAGCACATCTGCCTGCGGTTGTTAAAAGCCTTGAATCGCAGAGACCATTAAAAAAGTTAATAGAATCACTTGTTTCTATGCAAGAAGTTAGCAGCCCAAGGCAGTGCAAAAGGAATCATGCTTTAAACTCTGTATTGACAAAAGGTTTTTAATTGTTGTAGAATAATGTCCTTCCTATTTTTACACATTCTGTGAATGTTTCTAACCCGGGCGAGGGGGGGTTGGGAAAACATTTAACTTGCGAATGGGACCCACGTTCCTCCAAAGAGGAAAAAATCCCCTGGTCTTTGCTGTTCCAGGTTTAGATTCAATAAAAACAACGACAGCCCACTTTTTAAGTGCTATGAACTCTCCAGCTTAAACCAATGAAAGCACATTTTGCAGGACACTGCACACAACAGTTTTCACACCCGTGCTTATGAAGAATCCTCCAACCTTCAGCAAGTTAACTGTACCAAGCTAATATCATTTGTCATCGTCACCCAGACACAGAAACAGGTGAAACTGACAGAACGGTTGAGAGAGAGAAGCCAATCACTTTTAAAGAAGTATTGCCTTAAGAATCATTGTAGGTCTCCATAGGAATTGTTACTTGGTTAATACATCTTTGTTAGTTTAAATGAAAAATGCAAAACTAATTAAATCCTTTAGAAAAAAAATATATATATATAGTTAGAAACGAGAGCTTTAGCCTTCAAGCTTTATCTTTCCCATCTTTTTACCTTGAGTTTACAAAAGGGCTGTTATAATTTTCCAGGGTTTTCACAGGTTGTCATATTAATTGCATGGGAAACTACACAAGATGTGCAGTACATGATTTAATCACACTGTCCCTTATGGGGAAAGGGAAAA